AAAGCAACGATCGATTCCTCCTGCTTTGGGTATGCTTCCCTAGTGTGTGTCCCCTGGTAATTCGACTCATTGTTTGCTACATCTTCATGTTGGGTGATTTCTACCATGTTAATTTCAACTTCTTTGGCCAGATTAAGTTTCTTCAGGCTTAGCTCCACGCCTTTAGTAGCTTGATCAATTTTGATGAAGTCATCAGCAGTTTCTTTGGTCACTATCTCCCAACCCAAATTGCTCTTTTTGTTTGAACTTATGGCTTCATCCCTTTGGTCACAACCATCAATTTCCATTTCCACATAGTTATTTTGTCCGAAGCTTATGGTAACCTTCGCTATCACAGCTTCGTCTATGGAATTGTCAGTAGTTTCTGTTATATCGATTGAAAAGTCGTAGCCATCAGTAACCTCGACCATGTTAGCTTCGACTGGTTCTATATAGTGTGCGTCTGCCATTTGTAGAGGGTCTGTGTCGACCTTCATCTGGCCGCTAGTCTTCTCTCGAAACTTTATCCGTCCTTCCTGGATTGCATTTTGAACAAGGTCCCTGAAAAGAAAACATTGAGACGTTTTATGACCCAAGAAATTATGGTATTTACAAAACCCTATTTTCTTCCTTTGTTCTATGGACGACATTTTAGCGCCGGGAGGTACTATCATTTGTCCGTCTTTAACTAACAAATCGAAGATTTCATCACATTTTGTGATGTCGAAAGTATATGTTTTCTTTAGGAACCTATCGTTTTTTTCGGACTCGACATAACTCTTCCCCTGCGGGGGAGCTAGTACTTTACATGAGTAAGGTGGTCCTTGTTTAAGTTCAGCAAGATCCACTTCGCCATCGTCGAAGCTCACAGGCTCATCACACAACCCTTCGACATTCTCGTTATATTCGACAAAAGCTACCTTTTTATTTTTATTAAACTTAGCCTTTTCGTCTTTGAGCCTTTCTAATTGCCGAACTCGATTGGCTAGTTGGGCCATGTCCCTTAGATACTGGGTATCCAACTTTTTCCTAATAGAATAGTCGAGACCCCCAGCGGCCATTTCGACCAGCTCGTGTTCAGGGACTTGTGTGAAGCATCTGGCTTTAAGCAAATGGAATCTATTAAGGTATTCCTCAATTGGATCACAAAACTTGCGCTTCACGCTAGCGAGTTCCTTTAAGCTAATTTTAGTCTGACCCATGTAGAACTGTTCATGGAACAAACGCTCTAACTGGATCCAATTACACACCGTATTAGGGGGAAGCATTGTGAACCAGGTGAAGGCATTCTTAGTAAGAGAACTTGGGAAGTATTTTATTCTAAGGCTTTCATCATTCGTTATCTCTCCAGCCTCGATTAGGTAACGAGCCACATGTTCGACGGTAGATTTCGTCGTATCTCCTGAGAACTTAGTAAACTTGGGTACTTTCGTCCTAGGGGGTAATTCCTCCTGAAGGATATAGTCTACTATAGGTGAAGTGTAATTTGGCCTGGTGAACCCAGTATTTAACCCATTTCTGGCCATAATTCTCTCGACCATGGCTGCTAGATTATTGTCGACGACCACGTTATTTCGTCGAACCTGCTGGACTACATTGTCCGCGTCTTAGTTCCGATTCACAACAACCACTCCTGGATCTCTTTCTCCTAAGACACGGGGCTGATTTCGCAATGGCTCTTCCCTAAGCACTTCGACTACAGGAGTGGCTATTCTTCCTTGATTTCCTACGTTGATTTCTTCCCTATTCGCCAAGTTTTCTCGTGGGATATCCGCTACTGCGGCTTGATTTGTGGCTAAGGGAGGTACCCCCAAGAATTCAGCCAATCTTGTTAGTTCTACCGCCAATTGTTGATTGGTCTGAGTTGTATTTTAGATTAATGGTTGAAAGATTTCACCCATGGTTTGTGACAAAGTCTGAAGCATTTGTAGGTTACTTTCGTCCATCTGTTGTCTCAAACAAGCAACTGAGGTATTGGTCAAATTGGGGCCTTGCGTCGAATACCCTAAGCTCTGGCTTTGGGGATTTCGACCCATGTTCACGCCTGACCCTGACCCCTGTAATGGCGAAGCCATTGCCTGATCTGAGAATATAGGGGGTGCACTTTGGAGCCCTTACATCATAGCGGTGGGCATCCCATATGGGGGATTTCTTGATGACTGTGAAAAACCAGGGGGACCAAACTGCCTGGAAGTCGAACTTCCCCCTAATAAAATATGAGGATTTGACGTTTGATGGCCAATATATTCCAACACTGGTTGAGTATAAGGCCTTATCACCGTCGATCCGGCCCCAAGTACGGAGGGTGTCGGTACTGGCCTCACAGGGAGCACTGTTTGTTCTCCAGTCGACGGTATCGGAGGGGGAACTCCATCGTCTCTTATTCCCTCACTGGAACCGTCTCCTTGATGGTTGGGGTTATCTGGCTGATTCGTATCTGTAGCCATGTTCCTAATGTTTCCTCTTGGTCGTCTTTCTTCGTTTACAGCGGTAACTTTACCACTTCTCAGTAACATAAAATGTATTTCTCCCAAAAAAGGACCAATACGACTGCAAAATTTCTTATAAGTTTAGTTTTATAAAAAGATTTTTAGCACTGTCCCACTGGGCGTGCCATTTTGTTTCCCTTGAAAATCGGAAAACAACCGCTGATCTTCCAAATCTAACTTTGGTGACTCACAGGATCGATCAGATTGATCCTAGGACATGTGCTAAAAGGTTTTTGTTTTGAAAATCTATCCAAGTGTCACACTCGAACAGTATTGGGGTGAGAGAATCTTAAAGAAACACCTATTCGACTACAAAATAACTTAGAAGATAAAATAAAGCTTTCAATAAAAGAGAGAAAGAAGTTTGTTTAGAGAGGAGAAATTAGATTGAGGGCGAAGAGAAGGGAATTGCATAAGAAAAAGAAGAAGAATAAAGAAAGTGAGGAAGAAAGGTGCAAAGACAATAAAGACTTTGTAAAGTTTAAAGCAAAATAAAGTAAATTTCATTAAGTTAAAAGATGGTGTGTTTACATCACGTACATTCTCTAATACTCGCTTTCTCTATGCTCGGATACTTGGAGTAATTCTAAGAGTAATTTGTACAATGATAAATTACAACACACTTTGGCTATGTCTAAGACATCATATTTATAGTAGTAAAAAATAACTTCTAATAACCTCCAATATCACCTCCTCTCGCCACTTGTCATCAATGTATGGATCTACTGCTTATAAGGTTCCACGTGTCTTCTTAAATATTTAACAAGCAAAAACGTTCCCTCCAACTTTTGAATTTCAAATCCTTCAACGAACCATCCATAACAGCAAGCGGTCGAACTCCTGGCTTCTGGGTGAGTTCTTCGACTCCTTCTTTTGGCTGCTTTACATCTTTCGACCAATCTTTCGTTCTCAATTCACCCTTGGCCTTTTATCTTGAATTCCTTTCTTCTAAATGGGGCGTCGAAATTAGGAGCTAACAGGATCTTAGGGTTAAAATTAGCGGCATGTTCAGAGGCTCGATGAGACCCTTCCAACTTATTATCCGTCGTTTACTAAGTCATAAACATATGTAATGTTTACAACAATAACTTTTCGGTGGTAGTAAAGGAGGATTATTGGCCTGCATATCAAGAGATAGTTTGACACAATGAAAATATGCGAAGAAAGAAAAAGAGTTCTCCTAACCTAACAACACGCGTATTCGAAACGAAATGGATGCGACGAATAAAATGGGGAGATTATGTAGTTCGTATCGTCAATTCGGACACAATCATACAAATTGTCCCAATGTTGGAGCAAACACCATAATATAATTTTATATGTAACCATTTTATTTGATATTGAAAACAATGTCAATTTCATAAATATCACAACATTTAGTTACAACAATTAAAACAACAACTAAATAATAACTTAAACAACTAAACAACAAGACAAACAAATACAACAACTAAACAACATATCTATGCGATTACAACCATCAGGGCAATTTTCTTACAACTATGCATCATAATACGACAAATTTTGTCAGTTAGCCCCATAAACGACTTTCTCCATTGTCGTTGCACATAATAACAAGCCTTTGATTTCTTCTGATCTTTTCACAGTCTGCAATGTCTCCATCTAATTAACGGATCAAGCTCATATGAAGATGCTCGAACGTCTTTGTGTTTCAGAGTCGAATCTTCATCCGAGACTTTATTGTCGAATAAATCAATTTGACATTTCTCTTGTAAATATAAGACGACATATATGACGATATTTTGAAAAAAAATTAAAGGAGAGACTTAGAATCTAAAAACAACACAACAACCACTACTTGTGACGCATGCTTCTAAAAGATGCATGAATGCACCAAATAAAATGACACGTAGTATAGGCATGCGTCATGCATGATGTGTACAACGAATGTGTATGTACCATTCAAAGTAGCTACTTCTTTTTTAATTAAAATCAATGTTAGTTTGATATATTTTTTTTTGAAATTCTGAATATTTTAAAAAATTAATCAAAAAACATGATTATTGAAAAAAAAAAATCAAAACCGGTAGTTTAATAAATAAATAAAAAATCTGCATTTAATTTCTATTATATTTTTAGCACAAATGCAAATAAAAATCAGTTGCAGTTTCGTGTTGTAACTGGACTCTCTTATTAGATTTCACAAGTCGAAAAAAGCATAATATTTTCCGTGTTGTTTTCAAAGTGGCGATTGTTTCCGTCGAATATTATCATTTGATTCGCTCACTATTATCTCTCCTTCCTCCGCTATCTTAATCACACTTCGACGCGTCACTGTTATCTCCCTCAGGCACGTTAAAAATAATCATCTTCTTCACTGCATATTTTTATCATTTCTTTATCATTACTTTTACAGAACTGCAAATTCACAAGCTTAGTTCAGTTTCTGAGAATATTGTTAAACTTTAAGCAACGAATCAAGCTTTTTTGCGCTTTTATATTTCGATGCTACTATTAAACCCTACTATTATCCCCTAATATTAATGCTGTCTCTGATTCAGGTCTATTTCAATGTTACGTGACCTAATACTTCAGTACAATTCAACAATGGCATATTCAGGATCAATTCGATTGTCTTGTGATGTTAAGCGATATAGTAGTATTGGAAGATGTAGTTTTTGTCATGTATGTGGTGGTTGCTTATTTCATTTGTTACATTTTTTGTACTGATTTTGTTAGAACGTTGATTTTCAATTTGTTTATTTCTTGGCAGAAACCAAATCCCGGTAATCGATTATGTTTTGTTGCCTTCAATCGTTTGCGCTATGGTTTGGTAAGTATTAGAATTCCGTACTTTCTTGTGGGATGGATGGATATTTGTGTTAGTTTGTCGGTTTCATTTGTATTACTTGCTTTGCTTGCTTCATGGAATGGATTTATGTGTTTTTTTAAATTTATTTCTGAATTGTTGGAGAATTTTCTTGTTGAATTCACAGAGAACGGAGTCTTCACCACACATCTCTTCCCGATTATATACTCAAATTAAGCCTATACCATCTAGTTGTAATGCTTTGTTGTGCCGATCTGCTCTTGTATCGGCTGGAGGGTGTGAGGCTCCGCTGATAAAAGTTGCTACTGTTTCTTTGTCAAGGTCTTTCAATTTATCTTCTTTTGTAGTTTATAGAAGTTTCGATTTTCATTGGCATGCATGTTGTTAGAATTAATGTGAATAGGGTTATCATGGACATGACTCGTGTAATTATGGTAATTAGGATAAGTATAAATTTGTCTGTTTCTGACTTGAATGTATAAATGAGCGCTGGTGTTTATCTTTTATTTATTTAATATTTCTGATAGTTTCCTTTTCCGTATTGCAGTTATATTTATGTTTGATTGGTTATGCAACTTTTACTTCTGGCTAGATTTCCTCTACACTGATAACTTTGTCATGTAGCTAACGCCTACATGTATAAACAACCATGCTTATTCTAATTTTCTGCAATTTGTTTTACTTGCATGCTACTAGTTATAAAGTTATAATGTTAGATGATGATTATGATTAAAAAGCTTTCTTTGACATGTTGGGTACCAATTTTTTGTATATGTTGGGTGACAAATTTGACTCCTCTTTCAACCAATGTATGTGGTTAGCAATGTAGTGTCACACAGAAGCTGCTGGCCGCATGTTATTTCCCCTCACCTTTTGTTTCGGGTATTTTGTTCGTATTTTGATGAGCTGGGTGCGTGAATGCTCGAGTACTGAGCTCTGGTTTTCCTTTTGGGAGTAGTGGCGGTGGAGGAGTGAGTAGATATTGGAAATAGGCCGCATCCCACTGAAACTCTAAACTAAGACATTAACTAATAAAATCAATCCACCGCATGATATTATTTTTTGAAATCGATGCAGATCATTTAATGCTATATCAGGAAGACCAACTGTGCTTCAATTGATCCCTGCCCTTGGTATCATTGGCTTTGCTGTCTTTGGTCTTGAACCTCTCCTGCGCTTTTGCGGATCTCTGTTTCTCCAAGAAGTTAGTATCTTATATTATTCCATACGCAATTGAATACTATTATAAGTTGACATTCTGTTTGGTAACATGTGTTTTCAGTGGACTGATAGAAGTTGGAAGAAAAGTAATTCATGTTATATAATGACATCTTATTTCCAACCTTTGCTGCTTTGGGCTGCCGTACTGCTCATCTGCAGGTATCTTTCTGGATCAGCAAGTCTTTTTCCATTAGAAGTTTGTGAAGTCCTATTGGTATACACCTTGACATAAATGTTTCAGGAGTTTAGATCCACTAGTCCAACAATCAAAAACCAGTTCAGTTATAAAGCAACGGCTGCCAAGTTTTGTCAGATCTTTTTCAACCGTGTTTACATTTGCTTACTGTTCTTCAAGGTAGATTTGATTTCATGCAGAGTTATGTCCCCACTCCACACATGGTGTGCCAACCTTATTTATGATATCATACACTTAATTGTAAGATAAGCTTCGTTGTTCTTATGGTTAGAACTAGATGTAGAGCACACACAAAAATATTTTTGAAAAAAGGAAGGAAAAAATATGAAGTACTTGCACAATGAAGAGTTTTCTTGTCTAAGATAGTTCTATTATAGTTATTCTTTTTTTGATAGTTTATATTAATTTATTTTGCTCATATGCAAATTAAGTAATGAGCCCCGTTTATTCCCATTGCCTTTTGTAAATACAGTAATAATTATTTCCGCTGCTTTTTAATCGTTCTTATCTGTCTGGAGTCCTTTGTTTTGATTAAATTATAGTGTAATAACTAACGTGCTTCCTATTTTCAGCTTTGTTCGACAAGCACAAAAGTTGTGTATGGAGACAAATGGCTCTAGTGATGAACGAAATGTATGCTCTTTTTACATATCCTTGGCATGTTTCCATTCGTTTGTGTGAACATTTATGTTTGTATGAACGAAATGTATGCTCTAGTGCTGAACATTTTGTTAACTTTAGATGCGTTGTGTTATTCCAAATGAAGATTAGAAAAGTGAGGATTTTCCAGTGTTAATTATGAAGGTATTCCTGAAATGTAAACTCAAAGCTCATTAAATGTAAAATTGTATTATGCATGACAGATGAGCATTGATCTTATTGGGAAAGCTGTATATACTGCAATATGGGTTGCCGCCGTGTCATTGTTTATGGAGTTGCTTGGTCTCTCTACCCAGAAATGGTTGACTGCTGGTGGTATGGGCACAGTGTTGCTTTCACTTGCGGGTCGTGAGGTACAATATGGCTCTTTGATACTTTCGAGAGAACAATTAAGTTTAAGTCATCTTTCATTTACTACCTCCGTTCCAAATTATAAGTCCCATTGCAAAAAAAAGTTGTCCTAAGTCACTTCACAAATGAAACATTAATGTTTATATTTCCATCATACTAAAGAAAATAATTTTGAAAATTCTCTCATAATTTCTTTCCCATACAAACTTAATTTGGGGCTGAGGGAGTAATTTTTTATGGATAATCCTATTTCCCCTCCCAGTCTTTCGCATCACTTCATGTTTACTTATTATGTCAGGTCTCTCTGTATTCAATTTCATTAAATTCCTTAAGAGCAAGTCTTCAAGGCATAGTCTTACATTCTTGCTTTATATTTCTGATGCATTCAGATATTCACGAACTTCCTTTCAAGTTTGATGATTCATGCAACTCGGCCATTTGTTGTGAATGAGCGGATTAAAACAGAGATAAAAGGATATGAGGTTTCTGGTAAAGTTGAGGTTAGTATCTATATTCTAACTTACTAAAAAGGTCGTTTAAAAGAACTGAAAATGTGGTAGTCCAAATTCCAAAGTGAGTGGTTTCCATTATAGGTTGATATATATGGGGGGAAAACTGGAATTCAATTTTCTTGTTTTCTGTAGCATGTAGGCTGGTGGTCACCAACAGTTGTTAGAGGTGCTGATTGTGAAGCAGTTCACATTCCTAATCACAAGTTGAGTGTAAATGTTGTAAGGAATCTTAGTAAGAAAACTCACTGGCGCATCAAAACTCATCTTGCTATCAGTCACATGGATGTTAACAATATTAACGTGAGTACTCCTGGTTTAGTCGCTTTAAAAAAAAATTGCCAGTACTTTCTGATGGCTATCTCCTCATCTAAAAACTGAGGCAATATATCTATTTCTTTATGCAGCGCATCATAGCTGATATGCGTAAGGTTTTGGCCAAAAACCCTCTAGTAGAGCAAAGAAAATTGCACAGAAGGGTTTTCCTGGAGGATGTCAATCCAGAAAATCAAGCTCTCATGGTTGATACTTTTTTCTGTTCATTGGTTTATATAATATTTTGAGATAATTTATTCTAGTATCATACTTTCTTCCCTTTATCTTCAGTCTTGGTTCAGAAAGACATTTATAATGCTAACCTTGAGATGCATCTTATAGCATAGCCAGGGCAAAGTACCTTGTAGCTTTGAGTTTAAAGCACTGCTTTCTTCTGCTCGCTTAAATTTTTAGCATTTACCTTCATAGATTTTTTTACCAGGCCATATGAATGAAATTCTTGGGTTGTTCTTCTTTGTGGAATGCTTTTTTTATTCTTTACAAGTAATAGTTATATCTTTTAGTATCATAATTATCATATAATCATCTACTTTTGGAACAGATAAGTAATTCTAATGTTAATTTGATTTTTGCTCCTCTTTTCTTATCTTATCTCCTCTACTATGCATCGTCGTGAGTGTGAATTATCACATTTCTTCCTTTTATTCTCAACTGCCATTATCTTATAAACACATTTTTCTGTTACAGATACTAGTATCTTGCTTTGTTAAAACTTCACATTCTGAAGAGTACCTCCGTGTTAAGGTGAGATTAGATTTGCTAATTCAGTTCCTTCAACTCAATTGTATTATAAGTATCATCAATTACTCGCCCATTTCTATGTTTGGAAACTGAATTTTAAGGTTCCTTTAACTATTTTCTCAAACTATTCCCATCATTCACTCTGTAGCAGGATTTTCAAAATGAGTGTTCTGCACGATGGCTTATTCTTTAGGCTATTATTGCGATTCGGGTTGGTGGCTTTTGTATATTTTGGCCTCTTTACAAAATTTTCCAGAAAAATTATGTGGACTAAATTTGTTATATACTGTCTTATGTGAATCTTCAATGTTTTTTCAAATCTTGATCTCGCTTCAATTTATCAATCTGTTGCTCTCAAGTGTTTCAACATAAAATAGCATTATGACTATATTTATATTCTATAAATTTATATTAATTTCATTTTCTGAAAGAAAAAAAAAATTGATTCATTTTGTGAGTGCTTGATAATTATCATGTGATAAAACAGGAGGCCATTCTCTTGGATCTTCTAAGAGTCATCAGTCATCATGGAGCTCGGCTAGCCACACCCATCCGCACAATTCAGAAGATGTACAGTGATTCTGATTTAGAAATTGATCCATTTGACAGCGCCATTTTCACTCGATCTAGAGCAAAGGGAAACCACTCTGTCCCATTCATAGACGACGGTGAAAAAATTGCAGCGACATGGACTCCCTCTTCCAGTGTAAAGTCCCAGGATAAGTTTAAGTCATCATCTCAAGCCAAGCCGCAGAATGTCGGTTCTGATAATTCTGTCCAGAAGGCCTCTAAATCGAAAACAGCACCCAAAACTTTGTTATCATCCAATGGAACTTCCCCCTCAAAGAAAGATGAAGAAAAATGATCCAGCAATTTTTTTATAGCCGGACGTTATGTATTGTATATTTGTAATTTCCCTAACTGATTAACCATTAAGGGTGATATTGTATTACACACAACCTTAACTTGCATTTTGTAAAAGGTTGATTTTAGCACCAGAACTAGAACTAAAACTAGTGGTCTCAACTGATTACTCATATTATGTACATAAATTGTGGGATTTGTAGCATAGATCATGCTCTTTAAATAACAACAATTTGCCAAATGTTTGAGACAACATAAACCGAAACAAAAACATGTATTTTATTTTGGGCATTACTCATCCCACACTATAGAGTGCTCCTCTACCACAACAAAAATTCCAATATGCGTATCTAAATGTATTTTTTAAGTGAGACACTTTTATTTTGCTATAAAAAAAATATGTCTAGAATGTCACTTTTGTAACTTTGACTGTTCCCAAAAAAAAAAATCTGCTCATGTCAATGAAGTTTTCAATTGATCAGAATCAATTCATGAATTCTTAAAAGTCATAATTATTTATTAGTGGTACCTTTTCCTCCTCTGAGAATTTCATGTATAGGTTTTTATGTCCAAAGCGCTTTGTTCTTGTTGTGGTAATTTCATTTCATTATCAGAATCAGATGATGTATTGTGTGCCATGTAAAGTTTTCTCTACCTGATGAGTGTGTCTTGCTTGGTGTTGGGACTTATTGATCAATATTTAAATACCATTTTCATGTACATGCAGAAGGTTCTATGCTTGTTCTATGCTCTGTACAAATGAACAAATCACAAGATTTAGGGCAGAGGAGGTACTATGCTCTGTACAAATGAACAAATCACAAGATTTAGGGAAGTTTGGGGAAATTTTAAAACTAGAGAGGTTATGGTTATGAAAGTGCATCACTAAATTAAATTTAAGCTAGATTAAATTTAAGTAAAATTGAGGTGGCTTATTCACAAAGTGGTAATATATATATATATATATATATATATATATATATATATATATATATATATATATATATATATATATATATATATATATATATTGAATATGTCTAGAGATATATTTCTAGATATAGAAAAGATAAATTCATATTTTTAAAAATGTGAGACTAGTCCTATAAGGTGAGATGAGTATTCTCCTTAAAAGTGTAAACACCTTTATTATTACACTCAAATCCATAAAATTTTGAAAATCTCACTTTGAACCACGTGGATTTTGAGTCAATGTACAGATTTAGAATTATTTGTGCGTTTCACATGAAATAAAAAATTTGAAATCTAACCAGAACTATATTTTTATTGAGTACGTTCTCAAAGAATTTGAGTTCTTTTGTATAATGTGGTGCATCTCAATCTCAAATAATGACACGTCAGAATTTTGAAATTTAATTATGATTATTTATACATCGGGTTCGTTTTAGATAAAACTGAACTCTCTTTTAATAGGTCGTTGTGGGCAATATGCAATGGGCATGGATTTCAAAATCCGTATAATCCGGAAATTCCATTGAGAGACAGGCATAAGGATGAAAAGAGTACATAGAATAGAAGATAAAATAGTAATCCTTTTCCATTCTTTAGAAGACCGAATCACTTCCTTTATTAAATTACAACACTGTAAATAGTATTATCCATTCTTCAATTAAACGTCCTTCTCCTGTTTTATCATTGCCACGACAATACAAACGTTATTAACCAACTTGTTTTTTTTCCTTCCGGCACAAGTATTATTTTTACTCTATTAAATAAAACAACAAACAACATTTTTTTTACGGAACAACAGACATCATTAAACAACACAAATCCACGAAAACCACCGATCACTTTCTCTTAGCACCACCACCACCACCACCATTTTCCAAACTCTCAAACACAAACCCCATCGGAAACATCCCCCAAGAAACATAATAAGCCTCTTCCCCCGGAACAAGCGGTGGAAGATTCGGAATAGAAACACCACAAAACGACTTATCGCATTTCTGACACATCAAGCAACACCCCTCATAAACCTTAGCATACTCATACAAACAGTAACAATAAGGACAAGCAGTCCAAAAACTACCCAACCCATTCTCCTCCACTTCAAACCCCCTATCATATTGGGTCTTTTGGGCCGGGTCAGACAACACGGCCCAAGCATCAGAAACAAGCTTGAAAGCTAATTCGGCGAATGAAAATGGATTCTTATCAGGATGAAGAAGAAGAGCCAGAGTCCGATACTGTTTCCTTATGAGATTCAGATCCTGCGAATCTCGCGAATTCCGATCGATTTGAAGAATGGCGTACCAATCGAGGTGGTGGTTGTTGAGGTTCAGAGGCTTTTCAGCTGCTTCTAGAACATCGACGATTGCTAGGATCTGGTCGGAACCTTCTAGAAGAGGCTCGGTTTCTTGAACGAGAATGGCTAATTCTCGTGAACCTTTCAGATCTCGTTTCTGTAAAAGCTCTTCCCCGATTTCTAGTAACCGTTCAGCTTCTGCTTTGTTTGTGTTCATTTTTGGCTGTCGGAGAAATCAGACAGGGGTGAAGTTTTAACCTGTCCATGGTAAAATAAATATATTTCATGAATGGTCCTTTTTTGGAAAATGTTTTTTTTTTCTCTCATTTCTTTTTTGAACATTTTTTTTCTTAAGTTTTTATTTATAATTATGTGATTAGAATCTTTGACCATAGATTTTTTTGGAATATTGTTCTTTAGAATATTGAAGATAAAAATTTTATATAAAAAATTATGTCTATTACTATTGCTATACACATGATTTTAACAATTGTAATAATATTTTAAAAGGGATTATATTTTTACTCCCTCTCATAACAGGCATTATATTCTCATAACAGGTATTATATTCTTCGAATTTTTCACATTTTTGTAAATAATAATTTATTGAATTGATTTTAATGATAAAACAAGTATTATTTGTTAAAATAATTTTATTAATAATAGATGATGAAGTAGTTAAATAAATTAAAATATAATAAATAAAAGTAAGTTAATAAAAAGAAATAAAAAATATCATATTGATATTTTAAAATGACAATTAATTCAAAATAAATAAAAATAAAAAAGAGAATACTTAAGGTTTGTATATTGCAAAGGATATGATAAAGATATGATAGAATATAAAGCAACATAAAAGCATTAGATGATATAGATAAGAAAAAATTTATTTTATCGTGTGTTTGATATTATATATATATATATATATATATATATATATATATATATATATATATATATATATATATATATATATATATATATATATATATATATATATATATATATATATTAAATGAGAGATGAGAGTAACAAATAACAACCATTAGATCAAATTAATAAGACAGGTGAAATTCAAGTTAATAAGAGAAAGAAATTAATAGTTACATTAATAAATAAATTTAATCATGATCTAATGGTTGTTGTTTGTTCTTCTCACCTCTCATTTAAAATCTCTTTCATTTGATATGCTCCATATATATATATATATATATATATATATATATATATATATATATATATATATATATATATATATATATATATATATATATATATATATATATATATATATATATATATATATATATATATATATATATATATATATATATATATATATATATATATATATATATATTAAAATTTATAAATTAATAAAAAAATTAATTTTTTTATATAATTTAAAAAGAAACATTAATACTAGTGAATAAACAATTTCAATTTTTCTAAAAAAAATCATAAATTCTATATATATATATATATATATATATATATATATATATATATATATATATATATATATATATATATATATATATATATATATATATATATATATATATATATATATATATATATATATATATATATATATATATATATATATATATATATATATATATATATATATATATATATAAGAAAATATATTTTATTTGATAAAAAGTAAAATTAGTATTTCTATTTTTAAAATTATACTAACTATTTTGTTTTTAATAAGTTTTACTTTTTAATATTATATAAAGTTATAAATTATTTTTATGACAAAATCATACATATCTTTTAATTATCCAGCCGAATTCTAACTAAGTTCATATTTAAGATAAAATTTGAACTAGTAAAATAAGATAAGATAAGATTCATGATTAATTTATCCTATCTTGTTGTGTCGTCAAACATTGGATTGAGATAGGATATGATACATAAATTATATCATGTCTAAGGATGACAATTTGACTCATCCTCATAAGATATCCACAATAATTATCCACAACGGGTAGGATAAAAATCTACAAAATGGGTACGAACATGGACACGAGTAATTATCCATTAAAATACATAGACATAGTCGCGGGTACGGGCACTTTAGTACCCAACCCGCCCCATACCCGCACTATATATATATATATATATATATATATATATATATATATATATATATATATATATATATATATATATATATATATATATATATATATATATATATATATATATATATATATATATATATATATATATATATCATTATAATAAACACATGAATGTTTATCAATTTCATTGAATACGTCTATATTAAACTTCTAAGCATTTTAATGTAAGTGTTTTTTTATTACTTAACTCACCAATAATTTTTTTGAATTTATTTTAATGTTGTCAAAATCTTAAAATGACATGATAAATTATAATTGATCGATAATATTTTATTAAAAATGCGGGTAAATAGGTACGAGTATGGATACTTAGTTACCCATAAAGTAAGAGTAGGGGTACAAGCGTTGGTGTCCACACGGGTATGGACTCGGGTATATGAATTTTTTAAAACTACAAGTATGAGAACGAGTACTATAATACCCTGTTCAAATCTTATCTATTGTCATTCTAATCATATCTCTTATCTTGCGCGCACCAAACAGACTGTTATAATAATAAATTATAATTATCCTACACATCAAACTCTTATCGTAATAAATTATATGAATGTATTTAATTGAGATTTTAAGAAATTTATGAAAATAATTTTAAAGACTTTAAAATATTTATGATAAGAAAAATCTTAAGGATTTCAAAATACTATGTTGGATTATATTAACTTTTTTTTTAAATGATTGTGTACAATATATTTGAAATAATTTATAATTTATTGATAAATTCATATGAATTAATTGACTTAAATAAGTATAAATTAATTGTTTAGAGTTAAATTTTTGACGATAATATTTATTTATATTTATGTATTAGTAAAAATAAATTATTAATATTTATGAGTTAACAACTTTAAAAATAATAATAATTATTATATTTTATTAATTTTAAAAATTAAAAAGATTCAATAAATTTTTATTAAAAATTGAATGAATAAATAAAATAAGAAAAATATTTTTAAATTAATATGAATGTCAAAGTTCTTTAATAACAAAGTCACTCAATATATTAATATTATGTGTTCATGTTTTGAATTTGAACAACATATTTATAATTAAAATAAGTTTAATGGATATACGCTAATAATTTGCATTTTTATTTAATAATAATATATCAGTCTATCAGATTAGATAAATAATTTAAAAATTTTAAGTATGATATATTAGTGTAAAATTATTTTATACTATAATTTCATTTCATTTAACCTAGTTGTAAAAGATAAGATGACAATCATCAATATATTTATTTTAAAATTCAATACACAATTTTCTAGGAAAAAATTACACTTTTTTCTAAGAAAAATGTTACCATAAATGACAAACATATTATGGTTATACTAACTCCGATCATGATCTTATTTATAAAAGAAAATTTATATTTTAAATTTAATAAATATTTAATATGTCTATTTATATAATAAATTAGATATATTAGTTATTTAATAAATTTAAAAATTCAACATTCTTTTATAAATAAAATCAAAATATTTCAAACAAATTAAATAGATATATTGCCATACAAATTATAAACTAAAGTTATATATAAAAAATCACAAACAATTTTGTTCTGGCATGGGCCCCGGCCTCACCTCGCGGCTTAGCCCAATGATACACAATAAAGGCTCAATATGGTTTAAGTAGGCTGACCGAGCACGTGACCCCTCGACGGGCATGGCATGCTCCCGTCGAGCAGAACAGCATGCCTCAAGACGTCCTCTAGGCTCTCCCCTCCGCGGGGAGGCACTGCCAACCACTGTCCCTCGTCGGGCAGAACAGCCCTCCGCGGGCGGAATCCCCATGCCGACGAGCAGGACAACGTGCCTCCCCCACGCCCTTGTGTGCTCCCCTCCGCGGGAAGAACAACACACCTTCGGGGAACCTCGCGAGCTCCCCTCCGCGGGGAGATCAACGTACCATTCGCACGTTCTCCATGTGCCCCCCCCTCCGCGGGGACACGTCACCAACCAGCTGCCCACCTCCGAAAGAGCAGGTCAAACCCACTTTCCGGAGATCACGGGACAGGTGGACTAGGGCGAAGATCACGTCCTGATCTTCACTACGCCACGTAAGCCCTAGCAGTCACCTGGGTTGGGCCTAGCAATCCAGCCCAACACAAGTGACCGTTGGCCCAGCGCTGGGGTCTCTATAAATACCCTATTTCACAAGAGGGTCAGGTAATTCACTTCTTACCCTTTTTTCTGTGCTTGTGGCCATTCTGTCCATATACTTACTTTGGCATCGGAGTGCCTTGCAGCACCCTCTCCTCCTCCTCATCACCGGTGAACAGGCAGCAGTCTGACAGAGTGTGGCCAGCTAGTGATCCCCTTCTGATCAGGTCAGATCAGTGGCGCCGTCTGTGGGAATTTGAAACTTCCCCGTTCTTCCGAGCAGCGAACCAAAGTTTCACCAACGCTCCACGATCATGGCTAGCCCACACCACGACAATGTCGTTCACGACTTCATCCTCACCCCTGCCACGAACGGCAGCAAGCAAACGGAGACGTCCCGTCCACCGGAGACCGACGAGAGAGACGGTCAGACCGCCTCTTCTTCGTCCGCAGAAGTTGCACACCAGGCTGTCCACCGACCCCGGAGCCCATCAGCGTTCTAGCCTATCCTTGTCCCAGCCGGAGCGGACCCGACTGTGGCCGCCCTCTTCGCGACCATCAACCAGACGAACCGGATGTTATTTCAACAGAACGCACGGATTGGCGCACTAGAATGCGAGGTCCCGCTAAGGTCCCCTCCGCGGGAAGACCAGAACGGGAACTCGAGGAGTCCTTCGCCTCGTCCCAGGGATCGGCGACCCCGGCTGGAGAGGCCCCAACCCGAAGTAGTGCGGGAGCGGACTAGATCCCCAACGAGACAAGTTCGTGAGAGACGGCAAAACAAAGCAGAGCCCCCAACCAGGCCTTCGCGCGTCGAACCCCCGGTCAGGAGGTCGAGGGGCCAAAACCAGGTGCCTCCACCAAGTAGCCCATCTCCCCCTCGGTCGCCCACTCTCAGCGACGAAGACGACTACAGGACTCCTCTGTCCCGGGAAATCATGGTCGCCCCCATTCCCCACGGG